TGGATCTGAAGATAGATTTGTGAATCCAATGTGAATGACTCCTGGATTGTGTAGTGGGTCAGGGCTATGGCAAACAGCTTAGCTTTTCCAAGTTACGGTTTCCACACTCTAAAAGGGTGGGGGGAGCAAGTGTGGCTACACTGTTGGGGTGACAGGGTTAAAGCTTAACACTAAATCCATGGTGGCTGCTGTGACGATGATGATGATTTGGAAGGAGATAGGGTCCCATGGCTGCTGGGACCACCATGCCCTCTGCAGTGGCTGCCTGCACTCTCCTCTTGCTGCCCTGCTGCCTCTTTGCCTGCTGCGAGTCCCACCTCACCCCAAAGGGTCAGCCCTGCTCATCTTCCTAGCTCCCCCAGCTGGGGTCCTGCTTATAGCATTGTTCTCACTCCCACTCTCTGTTCCTCCCCTTTGTGGGCTCCCTTGGGTTTAGAGCCTGCCCCTCTGGGGAAGGCCTTGATTTGGTTTGGCTCTGTGTCCCCACCCAAATTTCATCTCGAATTGTACTCCCATAACTCCCATGTGTTGTGGGAGGGACCCAGTGCGAGACAAGTGAATCATAGGGTGGTTTCTCCCACACTATTCTCGTGGTAGTGAATATGTCTCAGGAGATCTGACGGTTTTATGAGGGGTAACCCCTTTTGCTTGGCTCTCCTTCTGTCTTCTCTCGTCTACCACCATGTGAGATGTGCCTTCTGCCTTCCTCCACGATTATGAGGCCTCTCCAGCTACGTGGAACTCCATTAAAACTCTTTCTTTTGTAAATTGCCCAGTCTTGGGTATGTCTTTATCAGCAGCACGAAAATGGACTAATACAGGCCTCTCTCCTTCCATTTAAGCAGACCCCCACCTACCCACTAAGTGGGTTCCCCGACAGCTTCCCCATGGAAAGAACTCAGACACCACCCCAAGTGCCTGAGTCCTCTATGAACCAGGACCAAGAGGATTGGGTGCTGGGATCACAGGGCCCCTGTCACCCTGGAAGCCCCAAGCTGGGCTCACCCAGGTGTGTCATGCAAGGCAGGGCAGAGGATGGACCCCTCCACTCCTATCAGCTGCCATCAGCATCCCCTCCCACCCACACAGTCCTCCAAGAGGCTGCTGGGGACTCTCCAGCTCTCTCCTTCCACTCCCCACCTCCGCACAGCCCCTCTGCACTCCCAGCTGTTCCTGCTGGCCACCCCTCCGCCCCCAGCATCCTGCAGGAAGCCCACTCCTGTCCCAGGGGCTACTGCTTAAGGCATCTGAGGTCACTTGGGGAGAGGCACTTGGCTCTGGGCCTGACATTCCCCTTGCTCAGAAGGCAGGTGCTGGGGAAATGATGTCATAGGGGGCAGCTGGGGGCCGGGGTGCTCACAGCTCAAACGTCCCCTAATGGCCCTCCTACCTGCTCACCCTCCCACTAGGCAAGAGGCTGAGTACAGGTTCTTACCTGCCCCAGCCCCAGCCCCTTGGGCCAATCAACCATCCCTGCCCTGGAGGCACCAAGTCCTCAAGTCCTCCTGTGGGCCTCATTCCTGCTTAGAGAAGGTATCCCCAGGGGATGGGAAACCTCCCCTTGAAGGTGGTGCCAGTCCTGGAATGGGCGGCTTGGGGAACAAGCTCACTGTGTACGTGATAGCATTTGGCTCCCACAATAGCACTGGGAATGAAGAATAAGAGTCCCCATTTTCCAGATGAGACTAAGAGAGGTGAAGTCGCACAGCCCATCACATCCAGTGGCAGCTGCTCTGATTCTATTTGATTTCAGTTAGGAAGGGGATTGCCAGGGCAATGGCTGATTCCTGTACTGTGGCTGGAGGGGCCGGGGCTGAGCGGTGAACACTTCCTCCCACTTTCCTGTTTGTTCAGCGCACTGTTCACTCTACTTCCTTCCACAGGATGGGGCCTTGGATGGGCCCCAGGGATACCACAGCAACACTCGGCTTAGACTGTGCTGTCAGCAGTCGGCAGTGTGTGCTGGTATGTACCTGAGTACGTGTGGGAGGGTGTACTGTGTGCATGCATGTGCTGTGTGTGCACGTGTGTCCTGGTGCATCAGTTGTGTGCAAGAGTCTCTACACTCATCAGAATGCAGGTGCCATGTGGGCAGGGGTTTGTGTGTGTTCACTGCTGTGTTCCTAAGATCCTAGAACTGTGCTTCACAAATAGTCTGTGCCATTAAGTATTCATGGCATGAATGAATGAATAAATGGATAAACCTTAGCCTACAGCCCTAAAGACCCCAGAGAACAGCCAGACATTTGCCCCGAGGCAGCGTGGCAACTTGGGTCTCTGTCCCTCTGCAGAGGAGAAAGGCGATGGGAGCGCTGGCCCAGGAGATGCCTGGTGGCTAGATGCTCCAGCGTCACCAGTGTGCCCCTACATACGGCTCCTCTTAGCCTGCGGGACCTGCTCACCTGGAAGACCCGGGGCAGAGGCTGGAGGCAGCTCTGCTAGGAGACAGGATGGTGGTCAGTGGCAGAGGGGGCTCTGCAGTGTAGGCCCGGGAAAGCCAGGCAGGAAGACACTTGGGTCTCCCTGTTCACTACGGGCCACCCACAGCTTAGTCTCAGGGGAGAAGAGCTGGGGACCGAGCCCTCAGGGGTCTTCAGGGCCTTGAGTGTGTGCGTGTGAGAGACAGAGCGCATGCATGTATGTGCACATGTACCAGGCTGCCATTCAGCAGTACTCACCCAGTCAGCCATGCCAGTTATTATGAATAAAATGGTGAAATATTTCCATGCCAGTTGAAAATCCCCCCGCCAGTCCAACCTCTCAGAGCTCCAGCACCTCCTGCCAATCCACATATAAAGATCCTATTCCAGCTCAGGCCTGGCTTCCATTCCCATCGGTCAGTGGCCATGCCAATCAGTGCTCCCCAAAGTCCAGCTTCCTGGACACATCCTAGGCACTGTCTCTAACACCCTTTGCCCCAGCCATTCTTCCTGCCTGCCCCAGGGAGCTGTGGGTGGGCACTGCCAAGGAGCACCCTTGTACCCTCCTCCACACAGTACCCATGTACCAGTCCTCTGGGCCTGGCAGGGCCCTTGGCAGGACAGATGGCAGCCCACAGAGGGCCCAGGGAGGGCAGCTGGAAGGTGTGGAAGCCCCAGATGGGCGTGGGTGGATTAGCGGCTGCAGGGACGATTCCAGGTGTTAGATAGACATGGGTCTACGTTCCCTCTCTCCCAAAACCTCACAGGTCAGAGGTAAGTGGGGTGCTAAAACTGGGTGCTCCCCAGGAGGTTGAAATGAGGAACCTAGCAGGCTCAGAGCTCACAGTGACCAGATTTCACAAAAGCGAGGGTCAGGGCCTCACAACACCACATGTCCTGAGGCTGTTCTGCGACATGAGAGGGCAGGAGCCAGTGGAGCCAGGAGGATGGTCTTTGAAGTCAGATACATGGGGTTCAAATCCTGGCTCCGGCCCCTTCCAGCTGTGAGCTCTGGGCAGGATGGACATGACAGAGGAAGCTTCGCTAACCTCTGACGTTTTCTCAGTCCTCTATTTTGTAAACAGCTTTGAGCCCACCCTCAGCCTGCCAGGCCCTGGGTCGCACAGGAAGATGGAGATGGAGCTGGACTCAAATTCAGGTCCCCTTGCTCCCAGTGAGAAAGCATTTATGAAAAGACACCCAATAGCTCTCTGCTACCCTTCCTGAGGGTGGAGGCTGTGGGGGTCCAGGGAAGTCAGGCCAGGTGGAACCATCAACATTTCCCTCTCCTCCCCCATCCCAGAGGGAGGCGGCCAAGGCCACAGGCGACCCCACTGCTGACACCTCCTCAGCTGCCACATGTGCTGGGAGGTCAGCACGTGGCTTGGGACAGACATTACTCCAGGTCTGAGAATCTTCCGGAATCACCGTGAAGGGGTGCAAATAGGCAGATTCCTTGTCGCCATCCCAGATCTGCAGTGCCAGAATCCTTGAGCCTTGGAATCTGCATTTTCACAAATGCTTCCACTGGAGTGGGATGCCGGCAGGCCCGGGTTTGGTGAGACTGGGAGTAACCACGGAACCTTTGGGCTCTGCCGGGCTCCTAGGCTGAGGCTGCAGCGCCGCCTGGTGGTCCCCGCTGAGACACCACTCTAGCCGCTGCCCCGCCCGGCCCCACTGCAGGGAGACAAGAGTTCTGCTGCCGGCCGGCTCCTCCAGAAATGAGAGGAGAAGGCGGGGCAACTGCCCTCTGGGCTTCATGACGCTGGGCAAAGGGCATGCTGGGGCTCAGTCGTCAGAGCCGTGCACAAGTAAGAACTAGCTTCTTTTTTCTTTTCTCTATCTGTCTGTTGTTTCTTTCTTTTTCTTCCTTCCTTTCTTTTTTTGACAGATTCTCGCTCTGTTGCCCAGGCTGAAGTGCAGTGGCACAATCTTGGCTCACTGCAACCTCCATCCCCCGGGTTCAAGCAGTTCTCTTTCCTGAGCCTCCTGAGTAGCTGGGATTACAGGCGTGCACCACCATACTCGGCTAATTTCTGTATTTTTTTGGAGAGATGGGGTTTCACCATGTTGGCCAGGATTGGACTCGAACTCCTGACCTTAAGTGATCTACCTGCCTCAACCTCCCAAAGTCTCACATTTCATCTTAAAAAGTCCCCTGAATTCTGCACATCTTACTCTAACACATTTCTTTAGTATGAAAATGCTTCCTTCCACAAATCTTTGCAAAAATGATGCTCTAGAAAGCGAGACCAAGTGTATCCTGTGGCCCCTGTCCCCCATCACCAGCCCACATTTTGTGTACCTTCTGGGGGCATCCATACCCTAGTTTCAGAAGCGGGAATGGAGAGATACAATCTATACCTCTCTTAGCACCAAATCAAACTCCAGGCACCCCACCGTGCAGGCAGGCCCATCAGAGCCTGGCCCATCACCGTCCTAAGATTCAGGCTGCAGAGGCAGATGCCTGCGGGGAGGGCAGAGCCGTGAGGGGCCCAGCAGTCTCCAGCAGACCCAGCCACTCTGCTCACACCCTCTGCCCTGGGTCCTCCCCTGCCCCAGGAAGCAGCATCCCTACCATTCCAGACTAGACTGTTATAAATCTTCTTTAATAGTCTTAGAATCTTGAGTGTGTTTTACAGAATGGTGCACACAGAGCCCCCTCCCGTCTCCCCCCTACAAGGCACAGCCTCACCCACCCCACTCCCCAGGGGCCAGAGGACAGCTTGCCAAGAAAGGCCAGCCCACCTTCTCCCAGGAGAAGCCATCCTCCTCCTCCCTGTCCCTGGACAGCTCAGGACCCTGGAAAACACAGGGCCAGCTCTGTGCCATGCCCCCAAGGACTCACCCGTCCCTAAGCAGCTCAGGGCCAAGCCAGATCTCGTTACCCAGGCAGACCCCCTCCGACCCAGCTCCCCTAAGCCCTGTCCCCAGGGCATGGCCCAGGCTAATCTGAGCTGTCTAGATGGACCTGCATCAGGCCTGGGGAAGGGGTGCTACCCCTTAATATCAGGTAAAACCCACCCTCTCCCACTGCCTTCAATATAATTGTGAAAAAACAAAGATATAAATGTCATAGTGGAAATAAGTTGACCTGCCCAGTAGGCAGTCTCCTGACAGCCCAGGGTGCCTTATCTAACGCCCCCCCTCCCAATTTTTAATACAGTTGCCCCCTATACAATATACACACACCCTTGAGGGCAGGTAGAAGTCCAGCCCACCTGCGCCACGGACGCTGCGGGGAGCGTTTTTCTCTGAGTTGCTAAGAGAACCCTGATGAGCGGTGAGCAGAGGAACCATAGAACAGCCAGAGCTCAAGGCTGACAGCGAATAGGCCAGGACAGATCGCCAGGCCCCAGAAAGCCCCCCACTTTCAGTCAGGGTGGGCAAGGGGGTCTTTGCAGTGAGGTGGGAGGCGGGCCTGGAGGAGGGAGCCAGGGAGACCCCTGGGAGCCCTGAGGTCAGGGGCCGGGCAGGGAGGTGTGGACAGCAGCTGCCTCAGTACTTGGGGACCTTGCTGTAGTCTTCGGAATGGACGTGCCGGCACAAGCAGATGGACAGGACCATCCCCAGGAGCTGTGGGGAGAGGCGGAGAGTCACAGGGAGGCTGGGCTGTCCTGGTCTCAGATGCCCCAGCCCCGCCATCCAGGTTTAGATGGGGATTAAGTGGATCCTCAACTTGAGCCTCACAACCACCCTGTGATGCAGGCAGTAGAGGGAGGCCCAGAGAGGTGCAGTGCCTTGTCTGAGGTCACACAGCCAGACAGTGCTCAGGCCAGAGGGCCTCTGGAAGCTGATGGGGTGCTGGGGCCCTTGGCCACCACCTCCCCGAGGAGAAAAGCAGAGCAGAGACAACCCAGGAGGACCAGGGATGGAGAAGGGCTGGGGGAGGGGGCTCAGACCTCAATGACAGCCACGCCCACGCCCACGCCGAGGATGATGCCCAGGTTCTCCTGCAGCCACGCCTGCACCTTCTCCATGCAGCCCTGCAAGGGGAGAACACGGTCACACCACCCCACCCTGCACCATCCCGCCCCACCATGCAGAACCACCGAGAGCCCCCCAGTCCCAGCCTGGAAGGGTTCTGCCTGTTCCTTGAATGAATTACATTAACAAAGAAGTAGATGAAGGTACAAATGACAGGTGAATCAAGGGAAGGAACTAAATGGAGGAAGGAAGAGCTGAGCAGTAGCCCAGACGGCCCCCAACACCCTCAGATCCCAGCCCCCAATCCGCAGCCCCCCGCCCACCGCACACCTTCTGGTACACAGGCCAGTCCTCAGGTTTGTTGCCACTCCGGGTCCTGTTGCCGGCAGTCTCGCAGAAGCCCTTCCTCATGGAAAGGCTGTTGTCCTCTTCCCCTTTTTCGCAGGAACAGGGGTAGGTGACCTCAGAGCGACTCATGAGCTCAGTGTTGTCCGTCCAGTTGTAGAAGCTGGCCCAGCCGCAGCACTTCACCTGGGCGAGGCAGGGGACACACTGCTTATGCTCACTGCCCACCGCAGGCAGGCTGCCCTCCTGGCAGAGGCGGGGCCTCCCCAGGACAGAGACTCAGATATGCCACTTCCAAGCCCCTGGTCCCAGCTGAACCATCACAAACTACAAGTACAGCAGAAAAATCAAAACCAGGATCAGCAGAAATACAAAGCAGAGTAGGAAGGAAGTTCAAGTTGAAGGAGCGCAGCTGTGCAGCGCACAAGGAGAATGGACGGCAGACCGTTCACAGTGCAGGGTTTAAAGTCAGGCTACTGGGTTATAATCCCTGCCCTGCCACCTACCAGCTGAGCAACCTCCGTCAAGGAAATAGCCTCAGTTTCCTCATCTGTAAATGGGGATAATTAAAATTCCCAACTCGCAGGGCTATCACAAGGACTAAATGGGATGAGTCAGGCAAAGTGTGGGGAGGTGTGGGGAGCACAATAAGCTTAGGAACGGCTGTTTGACTTTAGAGCAGGAGTTGAGATTTGCCTCTGAGCTTCCTGGTGAAAAGGAGAAAAAGTGAAAAGTGAAAAAGGATACAGCGTCAATTCTGCTTTTTTTTTTTTTTCTTTTTTCTGAGGCAGAGTCTTGCTCTGTCACCCAGGCTGGAGTGCAGCGGCGTGATCTTGGCTCACTGCAACCTCCACCTCCCGGGTTCAAATGATTCTCCTGCTTCAGCCTCCTGAGTAGCTGGGATTACAGGCACTCACCATCCTGCCCGGCTAATGTTTGTATTTTTAGTAGAGATGGGGTTTCACCATGTTGGCCAGGCTGGTCTTGAACTCCTGACCTCAAGTGATCTGCCCACCTTGGCCTCCCAAAGTGCTGGGATTACAGGTGTGAGCCACCTCGCCCGACCAGTCAATTCTGCCACTTTAAAGGAGAAAATGCTCTAGTTCTAGAGAGAAGAAAGCCTTTCTGGGCTCTGTGTGCTAAAGGAGGTCTCTGTGTGCAAATCCCCGCAATGCTGGGGGTTCCTGGGAGGATTCAGTGCGATAGCCATGGTCACAGCAGGGGTCAGTTCCTGGACCGCTTCCTTCCTATCTCCGGATGTTGCCCGACCAATAGCCAGTGGACAGCAGGGGGCGTACCAGGCACACCCAGAAATGCTCAGCTCCAGGCCATTTCTAATCCAGCTTTTACAGGCGCTTGTTCCAGCAGGCTGGCTGCCTCCTCTCTCGAACAAAAGGCTGGCACCTCTGAGGGGTGCACAGGTCTGCAAGCTGGGGCCACCCACAGGTCATCCTGCACCAGAGCAAAATAAGGCAGGTCTCCTTGGCCCGTCTATGGCAGAGCCTCCTTCCAAGCAACGCTTTGCCCTGACCCCGGCTGTACCTGTTCCCCAGCAGCACATGCCATCTCCGCCTGTGTCTCCACGGATGTGCATGGTGACTAAAACATCACCACCAACTTAGCACATAATAAATGCTGCCTAAGTGCTGGAGGCTTTAACAATGTATCTCACACGGCATGGGTCAGTAGCCCCATTGCATAAACAAGGAGGCAGGCTCAGCAAAAGTCTAGCGGCTGTGGCAGTGTTAGCACTCCAGGCCTTGGGAGTCTCACTTACCGCCAGCCCAAGCAGCATCTGACAGCATCGGAATCATCTAGAACCAGCCAATGACTTTCCAGGGTAGGATGCTCACCACCTCCCAAGGGACCCACTTCTCCTCCCAGGTCCCTTGTCAGGTGGCGCTGGTTTATGTCATTGGTGACATCAAGACTTTGCTAAAATTAGCAAAGTCTCAGCAATTGTGGGTCAAACTACATAGGCGACCAAAACATTTCCCTGTGTGAACCAAGCCTTCCAGCTGCCACGACCCCCACACCTGATCTCCTATGTCAGGGCCAGAGAACATCGCTCTCCCCTTCCTCCGCTCAGAAGATGGCCAAGTCCACGTCGCCTAGATGGAGTGTCCTATCTGCAAACTCTCCTGGTGCCCCAGAGTCAGGCTTTCTCCTGCTGCCCATGCCCCTTATACCCCACAGCCCTCCCCTGAGGTGTCAACACCTCAGGGACCTCCCCTGAGGCCCTACGTGATCACTGTGTCCTGCGCCCTCACAGGATTACAGATCAGAGACGGCAGGTTCCAGCCAAGGGCACACACAGCATCCGGGACCACAAGAAAGGAGAGCCAGGTGGTCACTGGATCACTGTGGAGACAGGCTGGGAACCTGGTCAGTCTATCTGTTGGTCAGTCGGGCAGTCCATCCATCCGTCCACCCACCCATCCACCCATCCATCCATCTCTCTCACTGTAACGGAGGTCTAATACACGTGAACTAATGGGCACACGTTCAGCTTGGTGCATTTTTACGTATGTGCACATACTGGTGAAACCAGTATCAAGATTTGGCTAGAATACTCCTTTCACCCTAGAAGGTTCCCTCAACACCTCCCCAGCTAGTGCCCCTCCCGGAGGCAGCCTCCACTGGGACTTCTCACTGCTACTTGGCATCCAGTTTCCTAAAACCCAGGGTGGAGCTCCCAACGCTCCCCAGTGTGGCTTGAGATAAGAGGGCTGACAACTGCCCCCGTGCTCTCTGCCACAAATGGGAGCACCGAGTTATGAAACTGTCTCTGAGTCTCCGGGCCCCCGAGCAGGGAGCTGCGGTGCTAACTGGGGTGCCCTGCCCCCATAGAAGCACAGTCTCCTACAAACTGTCAGGCACACACGAGTACTGCAGATGCCAGTCCCAGACACGCGGGTGCACAGAGCCCCAAATTCAGGGCCACCCAGGCGAAAGAGCCTCCCATAGCCACGCCCCACCTCACCTGAGCTTGCACGTAGTCCCAGGCGTCCTGCAGGCTGTCCTCGCGACTGCTGTTGTAGTCTCGAATGAGCTCCATCACGATGCCGCCCATCTCCTGCTTCAGCTGCAGGACAAAGGTCAGGGTCAGATTTCCTGAAACCCGTGCCCACCTGTGGTCACCGCTACTTAAACTGCCTCCCCCCTGTTCCCTTCAGCAACCCTGTGACATGCTCATGGCTCCAACCACTTTCCTGGCGCTCCCAGGGTGCCCGATGCAGGCAGTGCCAACCACTCCTGCCCCACTGTCTCTTCTGCGCTCGGCAGCAGCCTGGCCCTGTAAACATCAATATTCTCATGTCACTGCTGAGAACCCTGTAGGGGTCTCCCACCACCAAGGCAGTTCCCATCATCAGTGTCCTCGTAACAGCCTAGGAGGCCCTATGCCACTTGTCTGTCCTCCCTGGACCTTGTGTCCTCTGTTCTTGCTCCCTCTGCTTCAACTGTGTGGATTTCCAAGCTGTCTTTGTGCCAGGCACACTCCTGCCTCAGGGCCTTTGCACCTGCTGTTCCCACCGCCTGGAATGCTCTTCCCCCAGACATTAACATGGCTCACCCTCTGCTTCCTTCAGGGCTCTGCTCCAATGTCACCTCCTCAGAAAGGCCTTACTAGACCACTCTACAAAATATCAGCCCTTCCCCATTCCCCCTCCCCCCACCAATCAACCCCCCCTCCCCTGGCCTCCCTTATCCCACAAGGGAAAGCATGCTGTATTTTTCTTTAGAGCACTGACGTTACATGCTTGTTAGTTTTCAGGGCTTATCATCTCTCTCCACTAGCACATCAGCTCCATAGGGGCAGGGACCACATCTGGCACGCTCACTACAGGGTCCCCCATGGCCAGCGCCAAGCCTGGCACAGAATAGGTGTGCGGGGTACGTGAATGCTGAATGCACACCTAACTACTGCGGTCTGCCAGGCACCAGAGCCAGACCCATGCAACTTCTTGGTGAATCCTTATGCCTCCCACAGGGCAGCTGCAGGGAGAAGGAGGGACAGGGAGGAGAGCCCAGCTCAGCTTCCTTCTTCCAAGGACCAGAGTGCAGCCTCTCCAAACAGGGTCCCCAAGGGTAGATGCCTGGAGGGGGCCCCAAGACTAGGGGACCTGGAACTTCGGCATCAACTATGTGATCAAAAGATCCTCCCTCTATGCAGGCATGGTGGCGGGTGCCCGTAGTCCCAGCTACTCAGGAGGCCGAGGCAGGAGAATCGCTTGAACCCAGGAGGTGGAGGTTGCAGAGTCTAGATCGCACCACTGCACTCCAGCCTGGGTGACAGAGTAAGAGTCCATCTCAAAACAAAACAAAACAGAAAAGATCCTCCCTCACCCCTTCCCAAGCCCTAAGCCAGCAGCGCGAGCCAGCCGGAGTGTGAGGTCAGTTGCTTTTCTGGCACCTGGCTGCTTGCCCCAGAGCTCCAAAAAAATCTTTTTTTTTTTTTTTTTTTTTTTAAGACAGGGTCTCCCTGTCACCCAGGCTGGAGGGCAGTGGCAGGATCTCAGCTCACTGCAACTTCTACCTCCTGGAGTTAAGCAATCCTCTCACTTCAGCCTCCCAGGTAGCTGGAGCTACAGGCGCGTGTCACCACGCCTGGCTAATTTTTATATTTTTAGTGGAGACAGGGTCTTCCCACGTTGCCCCGGCTGGCCTCGAACTCCTGACCTCAAGTGATCCACCCACCTCGGCCTCCCAATGTGTTGGGATTACAGGCCTGAGACCCCGCGCCTGGCCCAAATCTACATCTTGCCTATGCTGATCCTCACCCTGCTCAGGAATTGAGGGTCACTCTCCTTGTGGTGGAGAGCAGCACCTGCTCTCGGCTAACCCCACAGAGAAAACCCTCATGTACAAAGCAGGCAGAAGGGGGGTTTTGAAATAAGTCAGTTGTGCAAAGGGAGGCAAACCCAGAGCCAGCTGAGGGCAGGGCCTCCCTCCGCAATAAGCAGACCTGGGTGGGAGGGGGGCCTCCGAGAGCCAGCCCCTGCCTGGCTCCACCTCGCCTCTCAAACGGACCTTGCCCAGAGGCCTTCCAGGGCACATGCATGGATGGGCTGGTCATGGCAGTGGGAAGCCCCAGGGTGAGGGACTCTAGAAGGCAGGGATGCAAAGGAGAAGGCCACACACCTTCCCACCTTGGTTCCTGAGAAGGAAGAATTGGGAGAAACGGGATAGGTACTTCTAGATGGGGTTTTAGAGCCTGACTCCCAGGGAACCCTGTGGGTGGGGCTTCCTGCAGCTCCCCACAGGCAGCCCTCGAATGAACAGAAAACTCATATCCTGCAGATGGACCTGCAGCCCTGGCTCCTCACTCTTGGTTAAATTAATGCTGGGGCCGGGCATGGTGGCTCATGTCTGTAATCCCAGCACTTTGGGAGGCCGAGGTGGGCGGATCACGAGGTCAGAAGATCGAGACCATCCTGGCTAACATGGTGAAACCCCATCTCTACTAAAAAAAATTACAAAAAATTAGCTGGGCTTGATGGCAAGTGCCTGTAGTCCCAGCTACTTGGGAGGCTGAGACAGAAGAATGGCTTGAACCCGGGAGGTGGAGCTTGCACTGAGCTGAGATTGCACCACTGCACTCCAGCCTGGGTGACAGAGTGAAACTCTATCTCAAAAAAAAAAAAAAAAGAATGCTGAGAAACCAGCCTCCGATGATGCTCCCTGCCCTTCTCTCAATAAAGCTCTCAGCATGATACTTTAAAAAAAAAAAAAAAAAAAAACACCTTATACAGAGTTCTGCAATTTACAAAGCTTTCTTGTCAGTAATTAATCACAACACTAATAGTAGTTAACTTTTATGAAATGTTTGTTATGTACCTGGTGCTGTGGTAAGCACTTTAAATGTATTATCTCAACTGAATCTTCACAGCAGACCTATGGCCTAGGTATTCACCCCATTCCCTCATTATAGAGACATAGAAAACAAACCCAGAGAGGTTAATTAACTTGCCCAAGGTCACACAGCCAACATGTGGAAGAAGTGACGTTTGTACCCAGGCTTGGCTGATTTCAGAACCCAGGTTTTTACCTATTAAGCTTTATTGGCATTTAAACCACATGGCCATACCCAGTTTTAACCAGGGCCCAGAAAAGCTAAGTGGTTTGCCTGCGTCACATAGCCTGGGCTGTCTGCCAGCCAATCTGACATCTCAGGTCCACCTCTCAACCCCAATGGGTGGGTGATCCCCATGGTGTGGAAAGGATGGGTTCTCCAGAAGCATCTGTGCAGAAAGCTGCCTCGCCCACATCCTCCCCACCCACCCAGCTTCCTCACGACATGTTGCACTGAGGCTCTGTTTAAACCCCAGCGTGGCTGTCACAGCAGCCTGGACTTCCCTGTTTCTCCCCCAGGCCCCCTGAAACGAGAAGGTGATGGAAGCTGGGTGGTTTCCACCTAGACAGGTGGTTTCCATGGAAACACCACAACATCTTTCAGTCCAGAATGTGGTTGAGGGACACACCTGGGCCACGAGGACCATGGCCACAGGGGCTGGTTCAGCTTGGAGCTGATGCCCTGGGACCCCAACGCTCAGGAGGCCTGTGCTGGGAGTACAGGGAGGTCACCCTGGCAAACAGGTAGCTACTGAGACCAAAAGGACATGGAGGTAGCAGGAGCAGACATTCATGATCTCCCTCCATCCACCCAGGGACCGCTCCACTGTTTCTGCCTGCCCTGCAGAAACCCACTGCTTGGGTGCAACCACCCTTCTATTTCTCCATGGAGCTGGGGAGGCCCCACTCCCTCAATGCCAGAGGCAGGCAAAAGACCTGGGCTGCCACTCAGTGCCATCCACATCGCAGGCACGGTGAGTGGTTCAGAGATGGGCTTGAGATCCACGCTCACACACCTAGCCCTCTTTCCATCCATGTGGTAGGATGAGGACCTGGGCTACCCTCAGGCTCCACGGGGGACAGCCTGCCCGAGAAGGGAGCCAACAGAGGAGGGCAGGGCTGAAGGGTGGAGAGGGACAGCAGCAGCCTTTGGGAACCTGGATACAGCTGAGCCTTCTGCTGGCTCTAGCCACTTTCAGTTGAGTCACTGTCACATGCCATAAAGAGTCCTGCCCAGGGTCAGCTGCATAATTTACACCTAGTGCAAAGTGAAAATGGAGAGCCCCTCGTTTAAAAATTATTAAGAATTTCAGCCGGGCGTGGTGGCTCACACCTGTAATCCCAACACTTTGGGACGTTGAGATGAGCAGATCACTTGAGGTCAGGAGTTTGAGACCAGCCTGGCCAACATGGTGAAACTGCATCTCTACTAAAAACACAAAAATTAGCTGGGCATGGTGGTACGTGCCTGTAGTCCCAGCTACTCGGGAGGCTGAAGCAGGAGGATCACCTGAGCCCAGAAAGTGAAGGTTGCAGTGGGCTAAGAACTCCAGCCTGGGCAACAGAGCGAGACTCTATCTCAAAAAGAAAAAAAAAAAAAGAATTTCAATACAGCAACAGCAGAGCATCCTGTGCGATTGCATAGGTTGAATGCCGAGGAAGCCAGCCTTGTCTTCCCTGTCTCCCTCCTCCCCATTTCTCAGAAGAGAAAAGTGAGGCTCAGAATTGGAGCAACTTCCCAAGATCACACAGATAGAAAGCAGCGGAGACATGACCAGATCTCGATCTGTGCAGCTCCAGGGCCCCAGGATCTTAGCCTCGGCAAGCTGCCCGCCGCCTCCCCGTGACCCTGCTGTCCTCTGCGTGGCTCTACTCACGTCCCACCCAAATGCTGCGCTTTGACCTCCCCTTTTAGTGTGAATTTTCACAGTCAGAATTAGGAGAGACCTTTGAATCCAGAAAATCATCCAAATGTAAGAGTCACGCTTTTCTAGGCTCTGCTTAAATGCTCCCTGTGATGGGGAACTCAGTAACTCACACGAGAGCATGTTGCGGAGTTGGGAGGCTCTTGATACAATTTAAGTTCTGCTCAAATGACTTCTACCCACCTGTATTAGTTCACATCCTCCTCCTCTCCCAGCTACCTAAGTCCCAGCTGGGACCACAGGAATAAATCAAATCCCTCTCTTGAAGGACACATCTCATCCAGATACTTGAGACCAGACTACGTCTCCAGGGTAACTTTTCAGGCTTCTGTGCCCGCCTGTTGGGGTGCTGTGCAGACCTCTCACCATGCTCTTTAAGGTGTGAAATCACCCCTTATAATGAGGTACCAATGCATGAATTGGACCCACATCTTCCTGTCCTCTCCAGGTTTCCCACAGGAGATGCTGGCAAATGCTTTGCTAGAATACAGATACACCAGCTCAGAGGCTGCATCCCAGTACCCTGATAGGAAATGAGGGCCCTTGGCCATAAAGGGGGTGGTGGGAGCATTTAGTCTTTGTGACCACCTGTATCTTTCCTGCAAGTCCAGCTGCAAGCCCCATAACTAGCTACCCCAGAATTCGGAGCCAGTGACCAGCATGTGCTTCAGAGATTCTAGCCCAAGTGTCTTTCCATAATCCTTTTCCAGAGGAACGGCCTGGACTCCTCCATTCCCTTCTCAACAGGGAAGAGAAAGGTCACCTCTCCCTGTCCCCAGCTCCAGCTGCCCTTCCTCCCTCTGCCCCATCACAAGAGAACCCCAAGCCTGAGAATCAGGAAGTTCTAATTCAGCAAGCAGACAGCTCACAGAGAACCACACTGTCCCCTAGGAACCTGTCTCGCCACCTGCGTCTCACACATGAGAGTATATGCGCACCAGCAATTTGGAGCTTTCAGGGTGAGAGCGAGGAGGACGAGAAGGAAATCACAGTTCCCCTGACCAACATCTCTGGGGAGCTGTCTGACCAGCCACTGCCACTGTCACAGCCCCCACCTCTGGCTCCCAGCCAGGCCAAGTGAGCCCCTTCCCCTCCAATGTCTTCTCCTTAAGCCTGATAGCTCTCAGAGCCTCAGGGGCCTCCCTGGCACAGGTAGGGCCAGCCAAGTGCATCCAGCTCAGCTCCCGCACACCACAGGAAAGGGCAAACTGCATCTGCTTCCTTCTCACCCCTCCCACCCCCACTGTCTAGAGAGAACAAGTCAGAATCCCTGATTGCCTGCACTGGGCATGGCCCAAGAGCTCGCCTGTGGATCAGAGGGGCTGGGTAACTTTTCCGAAGCCACACAGCAACCAGCGGCAGAGCCCACACTAAAACATAGGGCCCCTGAATCCCAGAGTTGGGCTCTGCTCACCAGAGGCTGGATAAACAAGCAGATGAGGATCTTAGTGCCACGCCCAAATCCTGGTTCCCACAGCCCTTGCTCTGCTGACAACGAGGGCAGCAGGAACAGCTGCCACCTATTGAGCCCTTACCAGGCCCTCATGAAGTGAATAATGGCAGCAATAATAATAAACACTGGCAACGATGCCAGCAACATCGGCCTCCGGCTGGGCGCCGCACGACACCCTTCTCGTATGTTAGGGCTCTTCATCTCTCAAGTGCTGCGAGGCAGCCCCTGGGGGCTCCAGCTCCAGACAGGATCAGGTTTTAGAAAGGGCCTGGGGGGACAGATCACACCCACCAGTGGGGGCTGGGGTAGCAGCCTGCAATGACTCCCATTTCTATTTCCCCAGGGATGCCCTAATGGGGCAGGCAAAGCCCATACACAGCCTTGCTTCTGTTCAGGTTCAATTTTGCCATCAAATCAGTTGCAAATGCTACTTTTGGTTTTCTTTTTTCTTTTGAGACGGAGTCTTGCTCTGTCTCCCAGGCTGGAGTGCAGTGGTGCAATCTCGGCTCACTGCAAGCTCCGCCTCCCGGGTTCACGCCATTCTCCTGCCTCAGCCTCCTGAGTAGCTGGGACTACAGGTGCCCACCACCATGTCCGGCTAATTTTTTTGTATTTTTAGTAGAGACGGGGTTTCACCGTGTTAGCCAGGATGGTCTTGATCTCCTGACCTCGTGATCCGCCCGCCTCAGTCTCCCAAAGTGCTGGGATTACAGGTGTGAGCCACCGCGCCCAGCCTACTTTTGGTTTTCAAAGTGCTTTTCTGGATTTCAGAATTGCAGAGAAGGGACAGTGAGCGGGCCTATATTGTTACTAGTTTGACAAATGAGGAAACTGAGGCACAGGGAGGCTGAGTAGCATGCCCAGAATGTCAGAGCAGTGGTTCCATAGTTGAGACCCTTGGACACCACTCTGCATGTTCATAGAAGTATCACAGTCTGTGTTCACTCCAGCCTGGGTGCTAGGGCAGGGAGAGGCAGGTTTATTCTCGATTTATAGAAGCAGAACCCAAGGCTCCAGAGGTGACATGCCATGCCAAGGTCCCCAACCTCCCCATCGCTGCCCTGAGAACAGTGGCTGCGGGTGGCAGGGGCAGGAAGGAGAAAGGGCAGCCCTGGAGACCACAGCAGGGTCGCTCCCACCCACCTGCACAGGAGCCCTATCTCCTTTCAAAAGGCCTTTCTTCCTTAGGTTCAGGCAAGTCCCACCCCCATGCCGAGCCTTGTCTGCCAGAATAAACACCATCAAAAGTATGTTTAGTCTTCCACTGAGATTTACGACGCATTGGGAAAGAAGAAAGAAATCGTTCATTCCAACTTGGGCAATACAGTGGCATCAGAACTTCTTCAGCAAAGCCAGAAAATGTCCCCCTGCCTTCCAGAAAAGGTGGTGGTGGACGAAGGTGAGGCAGACTGCGACTAGGGGGTGTGGACTCTGGAGGGGAAGATGGGGGCGGTCGTGCAATGCACAGAGCCTGGCTGGGGTTGGGAAACCCAAATCTCCAAACAAGTCCTGTTCTGGGACTGACAGGACACCTGTGAGTCTAAGCTCATCATCATCAGCCAAGCAGAGTTAACAGCCCACGGGAGGGCAGCACGGTGTACAGGGAGGCATGGGCCTCGGACTCCGAGGGAGCAGGATGGAAATCCCCGCTCTGATGCACCAAAGCTGCGTGTGTCAGTGGCCGAAAGTCACTTTGCTTTCCTGGGTCTCAGTTTCTTCAAATGGAAAATGTTTGTAAATTTGAAACGTGTATTTCAGCTCACTTTTCTAGCTCAGCTCCTGGCATGTGGTTGGTGCCAACCCGGTGGGTGCCATCTTTATTACTGAGAGATGGTGAATCACACAGACTGCACGAGATCCCTGTAGAGGCGACCAGCTTCTGAGTCATAGAAGCTGGCTCACTGGGGCCTGATTCTAATCCACCCTGTTTATATCACTAACTGGGTACTAAAGAAGCTCCAGTGCCATAGGGCAAAAATGAAGACCTGACCCCACAACCATTTTTCTGGGAAAGGAATTTCCCTCCCTTAACTTCTGGCTTCCTGTCTCATAGCCAAACAAGCTGCTTTTCATCTACACAATCCACTATTTTCCACTTTTGCCTTGACTGCCAGGAAGCTCAGTGCCCAAGTTAGCCCTTAGTTACCAACAGTATCTTGTCTTGTTGAAGTTCTATTAAGTTCTAAGTTCTATTAAGTGTTCGTTGCTGATGTTGATGTTGTTATAGTGTTTTCTCAGTTACCTTCCAAGAGGGATCTCAGGCAACTTGACCTTCAAGTGGTGACGTGCAGGAGCCCAACTGGCTGCCGGCTCTGCCACCCTCACTGGTGGACAAGAACTGGTGGCACTGGAAGCAGGGACCCCAAGGGTCTGCTAGGCCACAGGCCACGTGCAGCAGGGTCTGGGGACAAGTGAACTCAGGAATCGGAGTCAGGGAGCCTAGGCTGACCTTACTTCTTCATCTGCAGGACGGAGATTCTCCCATGACCTTGAGAGGGTCTAGTGAGGATCAGTGAGAGGACTGTCACGTGGTCAACACTGTACTTGGTATATACTGTGCATGAACTCAACTGGAGGGATGGTGGGGGTTAGAGCCACTGTTATCAATGTTGTTATTGCTCTTCATCTCAGAGTATCTGCTTCTCCATCTGTCAACATAAAACCCTGCAGAGCCATTGTGAGGACAAGATGATGTATGGAAAGCTTCTAGAAGATGCCACGTGCACACAGTAGGTGCTTCTTACACAATAACTGTGACTCACAATTAACTGGCTCACCCAACAGCCATTCTTGGCTCCTTTCTCTCTTGTGCCTCTGTCTTTAAGAGTCTGAAAGTTTGATACTCACATTCTCAGCCTCCTTTACAACCAGGGGTGACTTTGTAACCCAGTCTGGGGAAGTCTGTTGGAGGGTTTTGTTTTGTTTTTCAGACAGGGTCTCACTCTATTGCCCCAGGCTCTGTTTCATGGCTCACTGTAGCCTCAACCTCCTGGCCTCAAGTAGCGGGGACCACATGTGCACATCACCATGCCTAGCATTTTAAAACATTTGTTTGTAGAGATGGGGTCTCACCATGTTGCCCAGGCTGGTCTCAAAGCAATCCTCCCACCTCTGCCTCCCTAAGTGTTGGGATTATAGTCATGAGCCATTGCGCCCAACCAGGGCTTGCTTTTCTGATAAAAGGGATGGCAATGTCTGGCACTGCCCACTTCCCCATCTTCCAGCCACAGCAGCACAGACGCCGTGCCTGGTGCTGTGGCAGCCATCTTGGAACGACGAGGTAAGTTTCATAATGCAGGAAAGTCATCCCAGTGAGGATGCTGAACAGCCAGAACCACGGCCTCTGAGCTTCGAAACCAGACTTCCGGGCAAGTCAACCACAGATGTCCTTCAAGTTTAAGCCGCCGTAAGTCTGATATTCTGTTTCTGAAAGCTGAACATCTCCCCTCGGACACAAGACTGATGTTTTTATTAACAGTCTCCTTCTAAACCTCATTTGTGGGTGAGTGGCATGGATTGAATAGTTGCTAAAGTATCTTCATAATAACAAGAATGACATTTATTGAGTACTTATGGTGCCATGTGTTATGTGTTTCACTCAGATAATCTCGAATAATCTTTGTAACCACTCAGAGAGTTCAGTTTTCTTACTGTTTCCATTTTACAGATGGTGGAACAGACACATAGACGCAAGCAGCTTGCCCAAGGCCACACAGCTAGAAAGCAGTGTGGTCAGGCTGAGATCCAGGCCCAGCAGGCACTGCCCACACCTGCTGCCTTCTCCTCTAACACTCCCCCATTTGATCACAAAGAATAGTGTCCAGAAGGCCGTCCCTGACACCTACTGAGTCTGTCTGTGACAACTGGGGGGGCTCCATGTCCATCCCCCACACTCAAGGTCAACCCCCCACATGGCTGGTCCAGCCCAGTGAGGGGGAAGGGAGAGAGGGGCTTACCTTGCCCATGTTGAAGTAGAAGAGGGCCCCAGCCGTCACCTGGGCAATGAGGATCAGGAGCAGGAAGGCAAAGTACTGGGGACACAGAGCAGGCACAAAGTCAGCTGTGGGTCCCCGACCAGGTGCACCCAGCCCGCATGCCTCGGGAGACGCTCTCCACCCGGCGTTACGGCCAGCGACGTGCTCAGGCTGCACTCGGCTGGATGAGAGGAAATGGGCATCAGCTGCGGAGGGATCCGTACTCACCAGCCCCAGCAGACAGCGGACCTCATTGACGGCACCAATGCAGCCCAGGAAGCCCATGAGCATGGTGACTGCCCCCACGCCGATGAAGACGTAGGCCCCCATCCTGAGCGAGCTGGAGGAGGTTTCTAGGGGGAAGAAGAAGCACACTCACTAAGTACAAAATCAGTGGGCCCAGCAGGTATGAACACCTGGCCTAACCGCCCAGGTCTGCTGCCCGATCCCCTCTTTGGAGCCAGGGTGTTGGGGTCAGCTGCATTCCCCTGCTGGCTTCTCACTGCCCAACAGGGAACCAGCTCACCCCCATTCCCACCTGTGTCCCTCCCCCAGTAAACTTGCAATCCGCACCCTCATCCAGCCTAAGCCCCTTCCCGGCTTTATTATTTTCTTCGTAACGCTTCTCAGGATTGAACAGACTACATTTCACTGATTCTTCTTGCTCATTGTCTGCTCTCCCCCTCCACCAAGGACCTGAGGTGCATGAGGGCAGAAGCTTCGCTGTATTCCCAGGAAACCCTCAGCTCGAACAGCGCCTCTGGCAGTGAGGTGCTGGGCACAGTGAGGATCTGCGGAATTGACAGACAAGGGGCTGGCTCCTTCTCCAGGGGCCACGGACGTTAAGATTGTAAGCTGATTTTTAACCCGCCTTCCTTCTTGTCCATATAATAACAAACACCAGCCTTTCTTGCCCACTCACTGCGCCTTAGGGGGTTTCTACACGCCGTCTCCAATTCTGACATCACCCTGCCTGGCAGGCACTAGCAGGGCCCTTTCACAGATGAGAAAACTGAGGCTCAGAAAGGCGCATAGGCAAGGGCCTGAGCTGGAATTTGAAAATATGCAAACCTCCAATGCCACACCCTTTCCGCTCATGCACAGGGCACATGTATTGCTACAGGTGTGATGCATGTTCATTCAGCCAACAAATGTTTACTGGGTGCCCACTTCATGCCAGGCACCGTGCCAGTTGCTGGGGATGCAGAAGAGTGACTAACAAGGTCTGACATTTGGGGGTGGGGAGTGGAGACAAAAAGTACACAGTACAGGTTTTCTGGTTGTGTTGGTCGCCATGAAGATACCAAAGCTGACTCATTGCAGAGAACTGCCAGTCGGGGAGAGGGTCGGAATGGGTCGAGGAAGGCCAGCCTGAGCCAGTGACATTTGAGCCAAGACGTGAATGAAGAAGTCAGCCAAGCAAAGATCTGTGGGAAAAGCATTCCAGGAAGGGGGCACAGCAGGTGCAAAGGCCTGAGGAAGGAGGAGCTGGGTGTATTTGAAGATTGGAAAGAAGGCGAGAGAATGGACCAGTGAGAGCAAGAAAGGAGCCCGGGAGGAAATGACGCTTCGGAGGTGCAGGAATGGGCCTGATGGCTAAGACCTTCTTTAGAGTCACCTGTGGACAGGCCCATTCCGGGAGGCGGAGGTCAGGAATCCAGCAGGGGCACTTGGCCAACATTTCCTAAGACACCCAACCCATCACACAGGGTAAAGCTCATGTCATCTCTAGCTCACCAGCATGGGTACGCTGTACCCCCAGCAGAGGACACACCTGGAGGGTGAAGATGCTGGCATCTCCAGAAGGCTGGAGAGCAGTGTGGATCAGAGGAGCCTCTTAGGGATGCAGATGCTTGCGTCCGTTACAACCCGACCAAGATGCTCCCAGCAGAAGGCCAAGGACCTGCGTTTTTAACCTGCGCCCCTAAGCACTGAGGCACAGCCAGGACCAACCCCTTGACTATCAGCAGGGAGAATACAGGCCTGGGGCTGGCCATGACTCCCTGGGGATCCTGGAGAGGCTGAGGTCCCCACCTTGGTCCCCAACAGGCGTTATTGCCCTTAAGGAATAACGATCAAGCTGGAGGATGGGAGGGAGTCTGTGGGATTCAGCTCCGCTTCCTGATTACAGACAGAATGTTCTGGAGCTCAGGAAGAGCTCTGGCCAGCCCACCCTGCTCTCAGGCTTCCTCCACCCAGTTCCTCACAGGAGCCCCCCACCTTCCTCAGGGTGAGTGTGGGGACCTCCTGGCACTGAGCCCCAGCCACCAGCGTGCGCAGGGAGAGGCTGTCAATTCCACTTTGCCTAAACTTCCTGGGTTTGGCTTCCAACAATTTCTCCCAGTGACTACTCCCAGAAAAAAGAAACCGGCACTGCCCAGACAGCCACTGTGTGCCAGCCCCAAACAAGGCCCTTTATCCAAAGCATCCTGCCTAATTTCACCAACCGCCCTCTGCGGCTGTACTCACATCCTGATTTGTCTGCAAGGACCCCGAGGCTCAGAGAGGCTAGCAGGCTGTAAGCTGCCTGGCAGGCAAGGCCCAGGGCTGAGACCCCAACTCAGATCCTTTCCCTGGGAGACCAGACGAACTGCGAGGTCTCCGTATCTCAGAACATTTCACTGATGCCTTTCCCTGTCCCCCCAGGATCCCAGGCCTACCCCACATCTGAGCAAGCTGACTTAGGAAGTAGGTGACGGTATGTTCCGGGGTAGGCCATCCACAGGGCATGGCAAAAACAAAACAAAACAAAACACCTTTTAGTCTTCCTGGGCCTAGAAGGGACCAGGAAGGTAGAAAGGAGGTGGCCCAAACAGAAAGGGACGAGGGATCAAGAAAAGTAGATTCTAATCCCAGCTCTGCTGCCAACACGCTCTGACCCTGGCAAGCCATTTTCTATTTCTTTCTCTGTAAAATGGGTCTAAAGCCTGCTACTTGAAGATGGCAAAAGGATTAAATTGTATTATAAAATGTAGCTAACCATCACGTATGTAGGGTTTTTCACTGGTGCCTGTCCTAAACTCTTTTCAGATAAAAACGAGAGGCTCATTTAATTTTCTCACAATAACCACAGAAAGTCCTCATTTTATAGGTGAGGAGGCACAGAGAGGTGAAGCAATGTGCTGAGGGTCACACAGCTAGTGGACAGCACAGCCGCGAATCAAACCCCAGCAGTCAGGCTCGAGTCTGCTCTTCACTGCAGAGTGCTTCCTCTTACTAAGGTACTAACCAGTGGCATGTGGCTGCAGAGCCATGTGGTCCAGGGGTTCAAGGCACGGGCCCGGAAGCCAGGCTACCTCATCTGCAGCCAGCTCCCCTACCTGCTTGCTGTGTGCAAGTTACGACGCCTCTCTGTGCTTCAGTTTCCTCCTCTGTAAAATGAGGATAGGAACGCCCAGCCCCATGAACTCAGAGCAGGGATTCAACTCGGCAGGGAAAGAGCTATCCCCAGTTCTGCCCCTCAGCTGCTCCGTGACTCTTAGCAAGTCATTTTCCCCAAAACTCTGGCCTCAGTTTACACCAGTGCCTAGTGACCCGGCTAGAGGATCAGTGTTTCTGAACCCTGGCTGCCTGGGGAATCCACCTGGGGAACTTTTTAGAGAACACCAGCGCTCAGGCTCCCACGCACACTGACCGTCAGGTCCCTCGGGGCGGGTGGGGCTCGGGCTGAAGCATTTGTAAAATGCACCCTCTACTGCAGACAGTAGACCTTTAAGATCTGGCCAGCTTGAGATTGTCAGACCCGAACAGGGAGGAGGCCAGAGCCGCAGCAGGAAGCTCTCCCCACCCAGCAAGCTCACCCCCACTGCACCAGCCGTGGGGCAGGGCGCAGAGGGCAGAAATGTGGGTGGGCAGGCTGGGCCTCTAGACTTTGCCCTGGGGTGCAGAGCCTGCTGGGTTGGGCCATGACTCAGGAAGTAGACAGTTGGCCTCATGGGGCCAAGGAGGGTGTGTCACACAGGCCAGGAGAGTGTGGGGGGCATGGGTCGCCCACCCACCTTAACCCCAGAATGGAGGGTGAAAGGGGGTAAGACTGAGAGCCCCGGGGTGCATCAGATGTGGCTAGAGTGTGGATCATCCTTGCTTTCCATCTCCTGGAGAGGAGGCCTAGCCCCTGGGGCTGGGGGGACAGATGTGGCCTCTCCATCATCACATCCTAGCCAGGTTCCGCTTTATGTAAATCAAGCAGCTGTCACGGGCCACATTCCAAACCAGCTGCCTTGGGCAGCTGCTGGGAGAAGTGAGCCAAGGCCGCACTCAGCGAGGGGAGTGGCACGGCTGTCCCCTGGGGGCTTCTGCTGTACCTCCCTTCCACCACAGGGAGCCCCTGAGAGGTCAGCGCAGCAGGCCCTGACGGCTTCCTGGAGGAGGCTGAGCAGGCACGGAAGGGCTCTTATTCCTGTAGAAGTGCCTTGGGCCTCTTTTCTTCTGCCTCTAAGGAGTGAGAGAAGGGGTTTCCACACTGTGGCTCACCCTGCCCTGTGCTGCATTTAGGACCAAAGCTCTTGGAGTTCGAGTCCCACACCCACCATTTAGAAGCTGTGTGAACTTCAGCAAGGGACTTAACCTCTCTGAGCCTCTGTTTCTTCATTGGTAAGGCGGGAATAGAAACGTATCTACCTCACAGGGCTGTGGTGGGATTAAGACAGTTTATCGGTACAAACTGCTTGGCACATGAGGAGCATGATAATTGGTGACTGTGCCTGGAACCTTCCTCATCCGTGCACACACCTGACCCACCGAGCTGCTGCCGGGCTCATAGCGAAGCACCACTCACAGCAGGTGCTTCATCAGCCCCCGACTATCTTCCTTACATCTCTATGAAATGGGAGGGACTGTTGTCTACGTTCTGCTGGATGGGCAAGTGAAGGAACAGAGAATATAAGAGGCTTTCCTAAGGTCAGGGCCAAGGAAAGGGGCCAGGAAGAGAAAACAAGCCTCCCTCATCTCCAGTGTTCCCCCAGACAACAGCAGCTTTGTTTGGGGAAGAAGAGAAAATTCCTTTTGGAAACCCTTGCAGAGAAGAGCCATGGGCAGTGGTCGGCAGCAGGACTTGGCTACATCCCTGAGGTCAGCAGGAAAAGCAACAGGCATTGAAGCCGAAGCACTGATGGGAACAGCTGTGCCTGCGCCCTGGCCCTCCCTTCTCCAGTGAGCCTGGTTCTGGGGAAGCTGAGGGGTTCTTACGCAGGACAGAGATGAAACTGCTCTTGTCGGCCAGGATCCACACCCCGAAGCCCAGAATCACTGCGCCCAGGATCTGGAAGGAGAATGGAGCCGTTAATGGGGAGCCAAGCCAAGATGGGGTGAGAGCCCTCCCCCGCCAGCTGTCCCTGCAACCCAAGTCAGAGTGGGCAGGGCAGGGGGCCACAGAGGGTACCACCTCTACCCTTCTCCAGCCCAGGGATGTCCAGATGGCCTCAGGTCCCACACCGCAGCAAGCCAGACACCAGGACCCTGGGCAGGGAATCCCTCCTACCTCCCATCTTGCCCCGCTCCACCATGTGTGATTCAGCCGAGCCTCCTGGTGCAGCCTCTTGCCAGGGGCGCCCTTCCTGCCGCATCTCCTGGCCCTTTTCTCAGCTCATCCCCCCCACTCCACCCAGTTCAGGGCCTAGGAGCTTCCCAAAAAAGAAAAGCTCTAAGGAAGACCCTCCGTGGACTTGAACATCAAAGCCCAACTCATCCCCAGGTCTGAACAATGGGGCCACCTGCCACAGGAGCCTTCTCTGACCCCCTCAGGCAAACTCAGGTGCCCCCATTCTGCTGCAACCACTGTCCGGCCCTTCTTAGTCATTCCCACTGGGTCTAACTACTGTGTTAGTTTATCTGGTTAGACTGAGAGCTCCCTGAGGGCAGGGCTGGTTGGAGACAGCTCTGTATCCTCAGCAGCTCTATAGCACTGGGTGCTAAGCAGCTGGGGGAATGAACGAGCTCATGAACCAAACTGCAAATGCAGGACTAGAAAGGAAAATGAAGGTCAGGCGTGGTGGCTCACGCCTGTAATCCCAACACTTTGTGAGGCCCAGGCAGGAGGATCACTTGAGCCCAGGAGTTTGAGACCAGCCTGGGTAACACAATGAGACCTCCACTCTACAAAAAATTTTAAAAATTAGCCAATGTGGTGGTGCACGCCTGTAGTCCCAGCTACTGGGGAAGCTGAGGAGAGAGGATCACTTGACCCTAGGGAAGTCAAGGCTGCAGTGAACTGTGTTCATGACACGGCACTCCAGCCTGGGTGACAGGGCAAGACCCCCTCCTTCTGCCCCCCCATAAAAGAAAAAATGAATGAGGGGTTACAAAAAAGGATCCCAAGCCCAGGGATTCCCTGTCTCTCTCCCATCTACCAGGGCTGAGCTCATGTCCCCAGGTGGAGTCCCAGCCAAGATCCACCATCCCACAAAGCTGGCGAAGACTGGGCAAGTGCCTGCCATCTGGGCAAAGGTGCAGGTTCCCTTTGGAGGTGGGGGTGGCCCTGTGTCAGTCCACAAGGCTGGCCATTAATGGGGGCCTGGACGGGACCCACCTGGTGGATGACCCATCTTGAAACTCCCACCTGTATCACCAGCCCTGGGTTCCCACCTCAGCCATCATCCCATAATCTCAGGTCTGAGGCCAGCAGCTGCCTTAGAGCCCTGAGCCTGGGGCTGGCCTGGGTGCAGGGTCTCTATCAGTCTCATTCTATCATTATGAAAGACCAGAGCCAGGACCGGCCCAAGGCACAAGGCACCTGCCTCAGGTATAACACATGAGGGAGCATCAAAAACTCAGGAATCAAGAGAAATAATATTTTGCAGCAATCCTTTATTTATTTATTTATTTATTTATTGAGATGGAGTTTCGCTCTTTTTGCCCAGGCTGGAGTGCAATGGCGCGATCTCAGCTCACTGCAACCTCCGCCTCCCGGGTTCAAGCGATTCTCCTGCCTCAGCCTCTTGAGTAGCTGGGATTACAGGCATGCACCAGCATGCCTGGTTAATTTTTGTATTTTTAGTAGAGACGGGGTTTCTCCATGTTGGTCAGGCTGGTCTTGAACTCTCGACCTCAGGTGATCCACCTGCCTCGGCCTCCCAAAGTGCTGGGATTACAGGCGTGAGCCACCACGCCCGGCCATGCAGCAATACTTTAAAAAGAAAATTAAGGGCCAGGTGCGGTGACTCAACCGTAATCCCAGCACGTTGGGAGGCCGAGGCAGGTGGATCACCTGAGGTCAGGAGTTCAAGACCAACCTGGCCAACATGGTGAAACCCCGTCTCTACTAAAAATAAAACAAATTAGCGGGGTGTGGTGGTGGGCGCCTGTAATCCCAGCTACTCAGGAGGCTGAGGCAGGAGAATCACTTGAACTCAGGAAGCGGAGGTTGCAGTGAGCCGAGGTCACCCCATTGCACTCCAGCCTGGGCAACAAGAGTGAGACTCCATCTCACAAAAAAAAAAAAAAAAAAAAAAAAGGCCAAAAATCCATGATTAATGAACTATTAAACTTTTTAAATAAAATGTTGACAGTATCAGTATTATTGATGTTTCCTTTTGCCCCAGGGCCCAGGTGGCTCGGTAGGGGTTTGCCTCTCTCCTGTTACCCTTGTACTTGCTGCCTTAAAGACCACTGTGGCTGATGACTACAACCACAAAGGGATAGTGATGACCCCATGTCTGCCCCCCAGTGTCTCCCACCAGAATCATCACTGAGGTATTATATGTCCTCTCCTCTCTCCCAGTGAGACGGGCCTTGTAATTGTCCTCATTTTATACACAGGGAATTTTATATGAGGCCTTGATTTTATCCATCAGGTACTGGAAACCAGATGGTGACAGGTGAGCTGTAGGGATATTTTGGATCCATCCTCGGCCTTCACCCAGAAAGCCAGTCTCGGGACCGAAAAGCCCCTGAGACACTGGGGAGGAGAAGGGTCTGCTGGAAGGTGGGTCCACCTTAATTTGCATAGCTGGGGGAAATGGGGGCTTTCCAGGACCTGGGAGTTTGGTTCCCCAAGACTCCTGCAACCCTACTCAGCCCACCACCACCCCACAGCACAGCGAGGCAGGGGCCAGTGCTCAGGCCCACGTCTGCTCCCTCTGCACCTCAGACCCATGTGGGCAGAGCCCCTGCCCCGTTCCCTCCCGCATTCACAGGGTGGGACAGGAGGGAGGACAGCCCCCACCAAAAGGGAATGGGAGGCAGGACAGAAAATCCCCTCTGGGCACACATAATCCCAGGTAGATCAAAACCCCACACTACTCAGCTGGCTCCTCAGCTTGCCAAGAGGAACCCAGAGAGCAAAGTCCCCAGGGCTACCCGTTCAGTCCCTCTGCAGGTCTGATGACCCCAGCCTGATGGGCAGGTGTGGCTGGATCAGCCACGGGGCTGTGGCAGAGCCAGAGCCTGGCTGGACAGCCTACCAGAATGGGCAAGGCACCATGGCACCCGCTTTTTCTCTGTGAACCAAGACTGGGGCTGTGGGGCAGGCCCCATGTTAATCACTCCCCAGACCCTCTCCAGTCCCCAGATGGGACCCAGCCAGGAGGCAGGACCCTCAGAGCAGAGAGCTTCCTTCCCCAGCATGGCCGCAGCACCAGCGCCTCTGCATTCCCTTGGACCTGAGAAAAGTGGCAATGTGCTGGGGAGTCTGGAGTCTAGAGGAGTGTAGGCAAAGACATATAGGTGCACATGCACGCAGGCGCGAGCACACATAGCAGCCACGGGGATTTTTCCAAACCACAAATCCAACCACTTAACCCCTCCCGATGTGCATAAAACAAAGAGGCAGGCTGACCCAGTCTGTGCCTGGGGAGGCGCACTCTGCCTTCACTGGCTGCCCCCGCTGCCAGGATCCGCCTCTCCAAAGCCACACCCAGAACCCCAGAAAGCCTTTGCTGACCTCCATGACCAGGCCAAGAGCCTCATCTGCTTTCCAAAGAGCCTATCTGTTCCCAGTACCCCCAACAACTGCAATTTTTCATGCATTTGAGTAGTTATTTGATGGAAGCCCACTGCTCCCTAGGACACAGGCTCCGGAAGTATAGCAATCAGGGCTCTTCCGCCCTGAACATCTGAAGATACTGAGGTGTCACATACACATTTGTTGAGGAGTAAACAAGCCCGTTGTGCCTCCTCCAGCTTTCCTTTTTCACTCTCACCCTCATGTTATACAAGCTCCTCCTCTCCCCCTCCAGCCTCCTGATGGATCACCCTGGGCCCCAGTACACAGACAGTTAACACCTGACTCCTGCCAGCCCCCTGGAAGAGCCAAAAGGAGGCCACGCCCTGGCCGGAGAGCAGCTTTTCCAGTCCCTGGTTCCATAGGGCAGCCTGAGAGCAGGACAGAAAGGGACGCCCTGGCCGAAACCACCCACCTTACTCCGTTTCTCTACTGGGGTCTCCCCAACCCCCACTGCATGAAGGAAAGTTTCTCTATCCCTGAAACCCAAGCTCCGTGACCTAGTACTAGGCCAGAGCCCAGACCCATCTCTCTAGTCCCTAAAGCCCCCAGGAACAGAGCGACAGCGCTCCCCCTCTCCCCGACCCTCCAGTCCTGGCCTATTGGCCTTTATGCTGGGTCTCAGCCCAGACACCAAGTGCTTGCCAGGAAAAGCTTGGCTTTGCCTGCATGGGCAGCTGCTTCCCAAAGTCCTGGGGCAGCCAGGAGGGACCTGACCGCCAAGCTGGGGAAGCCCAAGCCTGGCTTGGGGTGGGTTCCAGGCCCGGCTGCCATGAGCAGAGGGCCAGAGCCACAGTGGGGCCTCACAGGGTCCTCTAGGAGGGAGCTGGGGCCAGGGCCAGGGTGGACAAACAGCAAGGCAGGCAGTACCAGGGCTTCCTGTGTGTGTGCATGCATGTGTGCACACTTGTGTGCAGGTGCCAGGAACACACGTGTACATGTCTGTGCATTGGGTTAAAGTCATGAAGGGGAATTTTTTAATTTTTTTTTTTTTTTTGGTAGAAAAACAGGGTCTTGCTACGTTGCCCAAGCTGATCTAGAACTCCTGGCCTCAAACAATCCTCCTGCCTCGGTCTCCCAAAGCACTGAGATTACAGGCAAGACCTACCATGTCTGGCCTGAAGGGGAATTTAGAATGATTCTTGTTTATTTCCCAAACTTCCCATGAACCATGTAACTTGTAATGTACCCCTCCCCCTAACAAGCAATTCATATCTACCGTAGAAAACTGGGAAAATACAGAGATGCATAAAGAATAAAATAAAAATTCCCAAGAATTCCAACATTAACATTCAGAGGTATTTTCTTCTCCTCTCAAAAATACTCACTTTTTTATGAATATGTACATTTAAAACTTTGGATCATAAGAAACATCCTACTGTACAACCTGATTTTTTTTTTTTAACACTATCGGGTAGACCATCAACATGGAGAAGCCAGCGCCCCCAATGCTACTCCTAGGCTATGAAGTTCTCTCTAGGGCACTGCCCCCTCACGACACACTCTCACACTCACACACACCCCACCATCCCGGCAACTCCAAGGCGAGAAGCGGTCCGTGCCAGGCCAGAGAGGAAAACCGAGGCCCTGGGAAAATCAGCGGTCAATGTCCACAGAGCTGACCTCTGGACGGCCCATCTGCTGGGGTAGGTCTGGGGAAGGAGGTACGTGCCCTTCGCTAGCCCAAAGCCTGGCGTCCTGTTGGTCACTCTATGAGAGCTCAGGGACATACCTTCCCACGACAGGGATGGGGGTGTGAACTGGGGCCTCGAACTGTAACAGGTCAGTTCTTCACATGGGCAGGGTGGGGTCCAGGGCAGGACTAGAGAGATGCTAAGAGGCTTCTTCTAGCAGCTCCTGCTGTTGAGTTAGGGGGATGCCCAGGGGCTCTCCTCTCCCTCCCCATACCCACCTCCAGCCCTGGCCAGCCCAGGCTTTGGGTGCTCTAGGAGAGGGGAAGGCCGGGTCAGGAATCTAGTGCTTTGTCAAAGGACCAGCTGGGAATGCCGGGGAATCTCCTTGCTACCCCCAGCAGGTTCCATTGGAGATAGTTCGTCCTCAGTCCCCACCCACCAAATCCCCCCAGTCCCCGGCCCAGTCGGCTCTGGAAGGAGTCAGGCTGGGATGCCCCTGGGAGGAGAATCTTTTCGGAGGTGGTCAGGGCGGCATGGGACATACTTACAAAGAAGATCAAGTTGAAGAGGAAGAGAAAGTATTTGGTGACTTTGATACAGGCTGAGCCCATCCTGCCAGTCCTGGAGCTTCCTGGGGGAAGAGAGAAGGCAGGCAGGCCAGTGAGGGGATGAGCTCGGTCTGCCCTTGCAGCAACCCCAGGAGATGGGTACTAACTCTGTCCCTGTCTTACAGGATGCAGAGGCCCAGAGAGGTTAGACAACTAGCCCAAAGCCACATAGCTAGGAAATGGGGTCCCACGAGTAGTCTCATGTGCCAGGCACCTGATGCTTGGCAGTTAGGATCTGGGTCAGCCACTGCACTGGGGTTGGGGCTGGTGGGAGCAAAATGACAGAGGGAGACCCTCACCCCTCACCTCCATGACCCAGGCTCTGAAACTTGCACAGATAGACTCTGTTGGAAGACAGGGGGCTAGGAAGTTAGTGATCCATTGACACATACCCTGAGGTGAGACCTGTGCTTGTTCCACAGACTCCCTCTGGGACTAGGGGCTGGGAGTTGTGGGGTCTGCCAAGGTGAGAAGGGGAATTCTGGCTTCTCAGAAAATGGGTGAGTGTCCCGGCTTCTTACTACAAAGGGAATAAACATGCATTGTAGAACACCCAACAAATACAGAAAAAACAGAAATCAAGCAAAATGTATCTCACCCCAGAGATTAAAAACTGGCATCATTTTAACAGCTATAATTCGTGTGTGTGTGTGTGTGTGTGTGTGTGTGTATAACAAATGGTTCTAAACAAAATTGGGCTCTTTCTGTATAGTGTTTTGTAGCCTATTTTTTTCATTCTATGATCTTCACTCTCTGTATGTTGATAAAATGCTCTTCATAGTTTCATATGCTGCATAGGCTTCCATCCTATTAGTACTTATTAACATTTGGGGGCTCACAGAGTCCCCCCAAAAATTCATGTGTAGTTAGCATTTTGTGATGCTAATAATTTCTGGGAGCTCGTGGACCTCAGGAAACCCATTCAGGAACCCCAGTGGCCCCAGGTTAAAGTCCCAGATGTGGCCATCCCGTAAAGCATTTAACTGATACTCTAAGATCGGACACACAGGTTGTTTCCAAGTTTTCACAGTCTCCCCGATGACACAAGCTGTGCTTCTGAAATGACACAAACCATGCGTTGGCATGCTGTGCCCCCTCCACTCCAAAAGACCCCAGGCGAGGGGAGGGCCCCGGGAGGAAGAGGGAAGCTAGAAGCTGACTGTCCTCACCCTAACTCAGAGGCCAGAAAACCCAGGAGTGCCAACTGCCAGCCTTCAGACCCTGTGGGGCAAAGGGAGCCAGGACTGCCGGGCAGCTGGGGCCTGGACAGCTGGCCTGGGACAGCTGCATGGGCAAAGCTGGGCTCGGGGGGTGGAGGGGAAGGCACCAGGCCCACTTGTGTTTCCCTGCCTTATGGAGGGGGAAGGGCAGGCCACAGAGCAAAGGGAAAGGAAAGCCAGAGCCTGGGCTTCACTCCTTCTTCCTCCGGCACCGCTTGAAAGTCTTCAATTTCCCCAGCTACACACAGGTTCCCTATTCTTTTCTGGACATGCTAACCATCAACAATCCTCCATCCTCCTTGTCAAGTGGGAGCTCAGCTTCCACTTCACACATCTCCGGTGATGGGGAAGGTGGCTAATGAGGAGGGCTCATGACCTCCCAAGGGGTCCAGTCCAGTTTTCTTTCCTCTAACAGCTTTGTTAGAGGACGGTTTCTTTAAGTGCCTTTCTAAAGGGCAGATTTGGGAGGTATCACCTGAAGCAAAGCTGCCCAAGTTAGGAAAAAGCTGCCTAGGTGGTAGTGAGCTTCCCATCACAAGCGGCATGGAAGCAAGTCTAAAAAAATACTCATGGGGGATTTAAGTGCTACATAGGGAGATTAGACTAAATGGCTCTTCCAGTCTAGGGGGCTCCAAGGTCTGGATCTGAGAATTGCAGAGATGGCAGTGACTCAGGAGCCAGGGCAGTGCAGCCTGGGCAGCTCCCCAGACCTAGAGAGGAGAAAACATGACTGTCCTGTGCCCAGAAAGCCAGCGATCTTCGATGCCCAAACCCCGTCCTGGTCTAGGAAGGCCTCCTGGGGCTCTGCACTACGTGAAGGATAGCTATTGTTTTTCCTCTCTCTCACCTCCCAGCACAGAGCCTGACATACCGCAGGCACTTCACAAACTTCAGGAACAAGACAGCAAGAGAAGAGAGATTCTTTCCCAAAGCCAGGCGGCATCTGTTTTTCTTTCCTACCATGGATCTGCTGTGTTTCAGCCTGACCAGGTCTCCTTCTAGTAAACAACATGGGGCATGCCCCGAGAGACCAACCCAGGTTCAGTGCCCAAGCAGCAGTAGCTAAGCCACCCCTTCACCACAAGAACATCCACTAACTGCAGTCCAGTAACTAACTATGCGTCTCGGCAACGGGGCCATTGGCATCCTTGTGAAATTGGAGAAGTGTGGAAACCGTTCTTTGGCAACCCTGAGTCAGATCCATGGTGTTGCAGTTTTAGAAAGTCCGGGAAAGGGGTTTCTACACTTTCCAGCTCACACGTCCTCTGCTCAGCCCCGCGGGGGGGCATTCAGCAAAGGGCAGCTTTTAGAAAAAGAGTAAGTATAGGCTGGGCACGGTGGCTCACGCCTGTAATCCCAGCACTTTGGGAGGCCAAGGCTGGCAGAACACCTGAGGTCAGGAGTTCGAGACCAGCCTGACCAACATGGTGAAACCCCATCTCTACTAAAAACACAAAATTAGTCGGGCGTCGTGGCGAGTGCCTGTAATCCCAGCTACTTAGGAGGCTGAGGCACAAGAATTGCTTGAACCCAGGAGGCGGAGGTTGCAGTGAGCCAAGATTGCGCCACCGTACTCCAGCCTAGGCAATAGAGCGAGACTGTCTCAAAAACAAAAACAAAAACAAACAAAAAAAAGAGTAACTATGACGTCTGTAAGGAGAAGGAGTGGCCGCCAGGGATTAGCAACCACTACAAGTAGCCATTTTCAGACATCATCCCCCATCATCCTCACAACCAGCCCAGGAAGTGAGTATTTCTATCCCTGGCAGACCAGAGGCTCAGACAGGTTCAGTAACTTGTGCAAGTCACACAGCTCATAAGTGGCAGTGGTTTTCAGAGCCCAAGATCTTTCTTCTGTGAAGTGGTCCCTTCTGGGTAGTAGCTGGGATTATAAAGGGATCTCTAGGGATGGCTGGGTTTCCTTTGTCCAGTTAGGTGTAAGGATGAAAGGGCTGCTCAGAGGAGCTCTGCTCGGAGGGCAAGGAGGAAGCTGGGAAACCTCGTCACCAAGGCTGACGTGGCTGGGCTGGTATTCCCATGATATTCCAGATCCCAGGCAAGCTTGGCTGGTCCCTTGGTCACGCACACAAATTGTATCAGGCACTGGGCTAAGCTCTTCAGAACCTCTACGTGCAAATGGAGGCACAGAGGAGAGAAGGAGCCGCCCAAGGTCACAAGTAGGAGGACCGGCAAGGACAGGGCCCAGGCCGCCTGGCCCCTTACACCACCCATGGGCTCCATCCCACACAGGAGGCAGCTGGGTGGGTCTGAATGCTGAAATGAGAGCCAGGCAGCCCAGTCAAGTGGGACAGACCCAGAGGTACCTGGACATCACCCGAGGGAGGAGAAGGTGCTGATAACTGGAACCTGGGATGGGCGGCTCCCAGGCACACTGGCCAAGATCCAGAAGACAAAGTCTTCCTGCCCTGCAAGTGCAGATGCTTCTGCCTTCAAAGTAACAGGGAGCAGAGGGTGAAGAACAGTCTCCACACTCAGCAGGAGATGGGCAATCCCACACAGACAAGGGAGTCAGCTCAGCCCGAGGCGGGGACACACCCAGCTCACCCATGATGGGCTGTGGCATCAACTTCAAGGAATCTACAACCACCCCCAAGGTTCAAGGAGCTCCCAAGGTTGAATTCAGAAGGTCAGGGGTTATGCCTGGATCTGCCCTCCCATACTGAGAGCGGAGTCTCAGTTTGCCATCCATGAGACAGAAATAAGGATTGGTGTGGAGCCAGGGTTGGTAAACTGCAGCCTGCAGACCAAATCCAGCCCCACTGCCTGTTTATTATACAGCTTCTGAGCTAAGAACAGATTTCTCTCTTTTTTTTTTTTTTTTGAGACAGAGTCTTGCTCTGTTGCCCAGGCTGGAGTGCAGTGGCACGATCTCGGCTCACTGCAAGCTCCGCCTCCTGGGTTTATGCCATTCTCCTGCCTCAGCCTCCCGAGTAGCTGGGACTACAGGCACCCACCACCACACTCAGCTAATTTTGTTTTTGTATTTTTAGTAGAGACGGGGTTTCACTGTGTTAGCCAGGATGGTCTTGATCTCCTGACCTTGTGATCCGCCTGCCTTGGCCTCCCAAAGTGCTGGCATTACAGGCATGAGCCACTGTGCCTGGCCCAGATTTCATATTTTTAAACAGTTAAAAGAAAAATAAAAAGATTCTTTAATGCATGAAAATTACATAGAATCTAAATTTCTGCACACAGCCATGCCTACTGGTCTGTCTGGCCCTTTACAGAAAAAGCCTGCCGGCCCCTGGTGTAGGGGATCAAATGGTGCACCCGAAAGTCTCTGTAAGAGGCAGCAAGGGTCGCCGGGCGCAGTGGCTCACTCCTGTAATGCCAGCACTTTGGGAGGCTGAGGTGGGCGGATCACGAGGTCAGGAGATCGAGACCATCTTGGCTAACACGGTGAAACCCCGTCTCTACAAAAATATAAAAATTAGCCGGGCGTGGTGACGGGCGCCTGTAGTCCCAGCTACTCAGGCGGCTGAGGCAGGAGAATGGTGTAAACCCAGGAGGTGGAGCTTGCAGTGAGCCGAGATTGCACCACTACACTTCAGCCTGGGCGACAGAGTGAAACTCCGTCTCAAAAAAAAAAAAAAAAGAGGCAGCAAGGGTCAGGACCACCCTTGGCATGGGAACTTTGGAGAAAGAAAACAGTGGGGTGGCAGGAATTGATTGTGACTTAGAGAGAGAAGACACAGGATCCTTGAACAAGGGTTCAAATCCTGACTCTGCCAATGTGTGGCCACAGAGGAGGGACTTCCTGGGCCTCATTCATCTCCTAGGGGAGTGGAACTCCCAACTGGACTCCCGTCCTGAAGAGGGAGTGAGGTCAGCGCCTGGTACAGTCAGGACTCGGTGACCCGGAGCTGGGGCCGACATCTGTATCATCATCAGTTGGCTCAGTACTTGCAGGAGAAGCGAGGGATGAAGATTTAATTTACAGATGATCTTAAACCAAAAGAATGTCCTCCAATGTTATGCTTTCTTGTGTATACTTTTGGTAAACACTGCAGAGTCTGCTCAAGCTTTCCTGTGTTAAAAACACCGACAATTCAAGGGAATGAGATGCAAGCACATCTTATGGAAACTTCCAGAACAGTCACAGAGAACCGTGAGCAGCAGGATGGAGGTACTGATCTTTGTTATGGTGGTGGTTGTTGTTTTGAGGCACTCTCGCTCTTGCTCTGTCACCCAGGCTGGAGTGCAGTGGCACGATCTTGGCTCATGGCAATCTCTGTCTCCTAGGGTCAAGTGATTCTCCTGCTTCAGCCTCCAGAGTAGCTGGGATTACAGGTGTGTGCCATCATACCCAGCTAACTTTTGTGTATTTAGCAGAGACGGTTTTGCCGTGTTGGCCAGGCTGGTCTTGAACTCTTGACCTCAGGTGATACACCTGCCTAGGCCTCCCAAAGTGCTGGGATTATAGGTGTGAGCCACTGTGCCCGGTGAGGTGCTGATCTTACGTTATACTTGACACCAGGTAAATTGACCATTTCTGAGCAACTACAATTTTAATTGACCAAATATATCATTTTATGCCAGATCAGTTTGTATAATAAAATTATTATATTCATATTTTGCCAACTTCTACTCATCGTTTAACACTCATCTCCGAAATCACCACCTCCAGGAAACTTCCTACTCCAGCCAGCTTTGTCATCACTACCACTGCCAACCCCTGACCCCCAAGACACATGCTGGTTAGACGCACTCCCTCTCTCCTTCCTTCCAGTGGCACTGGAGACCAGAGCAGCTCCATGAACAGGCTCTGGCATCAGGCTGCCTTGGATTTGAATGCAGTTCTAATGCCTCCTAGCTGTGTGACCATGGACAAGTGACTTAACCTCTCTGAGCCTCACTTTACTCATCTGTGAAGTGACAAAGATAAAACCTATTTTGCAGCCTGGGTGCGGTGGCTGAAGTCTGTCACCCCAGCACTTTGGGAGGTCGTGGCAGGCGGATCACGAGGTCAGGAGTTCGAGACCAGCCTGGCCAACATGGTGAAACCCCTGTTCACTAAAAATACAAAAATTAGCTGGGCATGGTGGCGGGTGCCTGCAGTCCCAGCTACTCGGGAGGCTGAGGCAGAGGAATCGCTTGAACCCAGGAGGTGGAGGTTGCAGTGAGCCGAGATCGCACCACTGCACTCCAGCCTGGGTGACAGAGCAAGACTCCATCGCAAAACAACAACAACAACAACAAAAAACCCAAACCCTACTTTGAAGATTTGTCCAGACGTTCGATTAGATCATATGGGCAAAATGCCTGCCACACGGTCGGCTGTGGATAAACGGCAGTTCCTATAATGAAGTGCTGCACAGTCACTTTCTACCTGCCTGTCCATTTCCCCTGAGGACTGTGATACCTTGAAGGGGAGACTATGTTATTTATGAGAACAAGGCAGACTTCCAACAAACGTTGCCGAATGAAAGACTGGGTGGATGCAGGGATGGATGGGTAGGTAAGTGGACGAACGGATGGACAGACAGATGGAGGGACTGCCACAAAGAACACCAGGGCCTTCAAGTTCTCAGCCACTTGAAGGTAGTCTAAGATCCACTGCCCCTGAGTCTGCAGGGACTGTTCTCAGGCCTCTTCTGTCCTTGCCCACAGGGCAGGTTGGGGGTGTGTGAGGTGCTCAACCCTGGGATAGCTCTGAATGCCAGGACCTGCTGCCGAGCCTCCCCAGGGACCAGCACTCCAGGACTCTAAATGCTGTAGGAGTCAGAGAGGGGGAAGAAATGGTCCCTCCGTCCACCAGGTGGCTCAGACTGAACACCTGAGGGCCACGCTCGGTCTCCGCCTTCCTTGCCCCACAGCCCAAGCGTGTCCCCTCCAACCCACCACTCCTCTCGGCCCAGGACTTACCTTCCACGAAACCAGTGCAGCTGGTCACAGGACCCACGTCTGCCCGTGCCCACGTGTCGTCCACACAGCAGCAGGGAGGACTCTGAAAAACACGGCCCAGATCTTGTCACTCCTGTCTGTGACTCTCCAAAGGTAATGTGGCTGAAGACATATTCACTATAAATCCAGGCTCCCTGTGTGGCCGGTGGGGCCCCGCCAGGGTTGCCACTCCTCTGTCCTCTTCCCCCTACAGGCTCACGTGGCCTCTTTCCTGTTGTCCTGGTATATCAGGCCCTTATGCCCACCTGAGGGCCTTTACAAAAGGGTTTCTCTGCCAGAATTACTCTTTTCCCATATTTCCCCACAGGCCTTGGCTCGGAAGGCTGACATCCCTCCTCCCAAAGGCCCCCCTAAACACCCAATCTATTCAGAAGGCCTCAACTCCAGCTGCTCATTACAATCAACATAGGCCATGCCCAGGCCCCCTGCCCCAACCAAGTCATCAGGATCTCTAGGGGTAGGGCTGGGCTCCCCAGGAGACCCAAAGGAGCAGCCCGGGTTGACATCTGGGTTGTTACACGGCACCCTCACTGCAGTAGCCTATTTGTTCACTAGTGATTTCTGCATCCGCCACTAGAATATGGGCTCAAGGGGAGGGGCTGCCCCTGTCCCACTCACCCTGTGTCCCGGAGCCCAGAACAGTGCCTTGTGTATAAGAAGCTCTCAGTGTGTGTTTTTAGGAAGCAGGAGAAAAAAGGGAGGTCTAGAGAGATCGGGAAAGATTTCTTAGACCAGAATTGATCCTGCAGCTGGAGGTTTCTGATCCTTAGAATGATATCGCTGGATTGGGGTAGAGATGGGTTGCTTCCCCCTAAGATAGGAATTTTTTTTTTTTTTAGATGGAGTCTTGCTCTGTCACCCAGGCTGGAGTGCAGTGGCGCCATCTCGGCTCACTGCAAGCTCTGCCTCCCGGGTTCATGCCATTCTCCTGCCTCAGCCTCCCGAGTAGCTGGGACTACAGGCGCCCGCCACCATGCCTGGTTAATTTTTTGTATTTTTAGTAGACGGGGTTTTACTGTGTTAGCCAGGATGGTCTCAATCTCCTGACCTCGTGATCCACCCGCCTCGGCCTCCCAAAGTGCTGGGATTACAGGCGTTAGCCACTGCACCCAGCCAGGATTTTTAAATATATATGTATTTGTTGAGACAGGACCTCACTCTGCTCTGTTGCCAAGGCTGGAGTGCAATGGTGTAAACACAGCTCACTGCAGCCTAAACCTCCTGGGCTTAAGTGATCCTCCTGCCTCAGCCTCCCATAGAGTTGGGACCACAGGTACACTCCACCATGCCTGGCTGATTATTTTGTAGAAATGGGGTCTCACTTTATTGCCCAGACTTGTCTCAAATGCCCGGGGTCAAGCAAGTATTTTAATCTCCTTTGGGTCAGAAAAGCTGACGGAAGCTGTGAACTCTCCCTAGAAAGATGCACACAGACGGGCAGGCACACGCTTCCTTCCAATTTCAGGAGGTCACAGACCCTGGAAAGCCCACCTGAGGCCAAGGTTTTCTCTGCCCCCATCTCCTAAATGCCCTAGAGTGGTGGTCCCCAGCCTTGGCTGCACACAGGAATTGCCCCGGGAGTTCTGAAAGTGATTGATGCCCGGCCCCCACTGCCAGAGACCCTGATGAGTTGTTCTGGGCTGCAGCCTGGGCATCAGGGTTTCTTCAGTTCTCCAGGGGGTTCCAGTATATTGGGACCCACTGCCGTGGCTCCATTCCTTACACAGGCCAGCCCCTCTGCTCCTCAGTGGGGTGCAGGCAGGCCTGGGGTTTCTGGTGCAGCAGCGCCTGGCCAGAGAGAATCTGCCTGGCACTCTGGCATCTGAAAAACAGTGTCACATGAAGCTCCCTGCACCATCCTCCAACCTGGGCTGCCTCAAGGCTCCTTCCACTCCAGTCTGTTACCCCAGAGCAATATTACTGTGCATGAGAAGACCTTTGAGATCACTGCACTTTTCAGAGGAGCCAGAGAGAGCAAGAGATGGCAGGTGGCACAGCAAGCTTGAGCTAAACATGAAGTAGAGAACTGAAGATTCCCAGTCCAGAGCTCCTTTCTCTACCTGCGGCCCTGTCCCTGCACACTGGGGCTCCCACATGGGAGGGATAAGAAACACTGGACTCAGAATCACAGAGATGGCCCTCGGCTCCACCCCTGGCTCTGCCGGGTATCTGCCACATGACCTTGGGAAACACTGCAGAGCTGCTCCCTTATCCACAGATGGGGATGCCAACCCAGCCCACCCACTGCAGGCGTGAAGGTGAATCACCATCAGGCTAGTGCATAGTAGGGCGCAATCTATGCTGGTGCCTGGCCCTCTCCTCCCACTCTCCCTGCCTGAAGATGCCACATCTGCCATACCTTGCCAGCTGTGTAGCCTTGGGTGATCACCTTACCACTGTGTCTCAGCTTTCCCACCTGTAAAATGAACTTAATAATGGGTTGTGGTCAGGCTTAAAGAGTTTGTATCTATAAAGTGCCTGGCACCCAGTAAGTGTCACATAAATGTTACCAACTATGGTGATGACGATGATCTGGAAAAGTTGTTGTTTTCCTGACCAACAGTCTGAAGCCCTCTGAGGCCTGATCTAGTCTCTAGCCATGTGCCCACCCTGGAGAGGCTATGTGCCGGAAGATGACCACTGCTGCTCCTGGGTGAGGGGCTGGCAGACAAGCAGGACCAGGCTGGGCCACCTAAGGAAGGAGGAGCCTCTGCCCCTAGCCTCCAGGCTGTGCCACTGGGAACTGCCTGAGACCCAGAGGTCCAGCCAGTTTGGTGAGTTGGGCATCCGATCCCGTGGGAGCTCAGTCTGCCCAGTCGAGCAGAAAGGGGAGTGAGAAAGCCTGGCTGGGCTATTGTGCCCTGGATGCCAGCCCATCCACAGGCACTCCACCTGCAAGCTGGTTCTTGGCCACCAGCTCTCTTGTCCTCTAGACTTTGTCCTGATCGCTCATGGGAAGAGACTAGGCACAGACGGCTGTGTTTGTTTTCATGTTGGACAGGTAATGTGTTTCCTGAAACCCCCGCTGACACCAGTGCCTGGCTTTTTGACCTCTCACTATCTTATTTTTCAATCTCTGGTCTTACTCTTATTGTTGATATTAACCCCCACCCACCAGAAAAAAAAAATAGCTGCTACTCTGGGCAACAGAAGAGTGAGCATAAGCAGGATGAGGGCCTCAGGTTTCCTTTAAGATCTAGGGTTCAGCCCAGCCACAGTGGCTCATACCTGTAATCCCAGCATTTTGGGAGGCCGAGGCGGGCAGACCACCTAAAGTCAGGAGTTCGAGACCAGCCTGGCCAACATGGTGAAACTCCATCTCTACTAAAAATACAAAAAATTAGCTGGGCATGGTGGCAGTTGCCTGTAATCTCAGCTACTCAGGAGGCTGAGGCAGGAGAACTGCTTGAACCCAGGAGGCAGAGGTTGCAGTGAGCTGAGATCGTGCCACTGCACTCCAGCCTAGGCAACGAGAGCAAAACTCTGTCTCAAAACAAAAACAAAAACAAAAACAAAATCCTAGGCTTCAATCCCAGCTCTGCCTCCTCCTAGATGTGTGAGCTTGAGCAAGAGAGTTATTAAACCCCTCTGAGTCCCAACATTCCCACCTCTAACCCCAAGATGCTGGTGGGATCCCCATCTCATGGGATTGTTGGAGGAGTAGGAAACGACACGGAAGGAGCTTTGGGGTCACTGTCAGCTCCTCACCACACAGTGAGGAGATCCTGCCACTACTACCACCACCAAGGTTGGAAGAAACACATCCAAATCAGACCTTCCCAGGAATCACAGGATTTCAGAGCCCAAAGAGCCTCCCTGTTTGTCTTAGAGATTAAGGAAGGGACCCTGTCATAGGATCCCATGAACCAGTGAGACAGGCTCCGTCTCTCCTGAGAGAGCTGGGATTGACAGCTGACATTTGGGAAAAGGAGGCCGGGGTACAAGAGCAACACAGGCCAGCAGGCACCCCTGTATATTATGCCATTACTCACCGCATCCATGCAATCTCCATAACACCCTCACCTGCTGCCCACATGAACAAGGTAAATGGCGCAGCCCACCGTCCCACCCTTCCATACCTCTGCTGCCTACTGCCTGATCCCCCAACCCTACCCCAGATCCCTGAGGCCTGACTCTCAGCTTCCTTTCAGGAAGGAAAAGAGCAGCTCCACCAATCCTGACCGGGACATTCCTTCAGTTTGGCTGATGAGGCTGACAGATGTGGCCCTTCTCAGGAGGTTTTGCTTTGAAACCCTAGCAATGAGACTGGAGGGCCTTTAGGTAAAGAAGGGGGCCACTCTGACAGGAGAGTGCAGAGTGGGAACCAGCAGATACCTTGAGCCCACCAGCATTCCTGCCTGGACCCCATGCAGCCAAAGAATCAAGCTGAGGCTGAGCCATAGCCTCTGACCTCTTGCTTTCCACAGCCCCCTTGCTTGACTGTTTTTGGCTTCTTAGCCAGCTGCTTGGGCCCCAGACAGCCCCCACTCTCTCCCAATGCTAGGTGCCAAGACTCATGCACTCAGATTCACAGTGCCAGAATGGCCTTTGACATCACTAGCTCAGCCCACACTCCTCAGATGAAGAGACTGATGCCCAGAGAAGAAAACGAACTCCTACCCCCAACCCTTCTGGGGAATGCGCATGTTCAGTGTGTATGTTGGGGAATAGGGAGGGGACTGTGTAGGGCAGTCAGTGTGTCCCAGCCTGTTTGGCATCATGATACACATTGAGAAGTATACCTATTTGTTCAGCTCACTGGGACGGACAGATAGAACTACATCTGGCTTGAGGTTACTAGCCTAGGGCTCTGTTCTCAAGGGCTCCAGAGATAACCATCTCGACAGCTCATTGATCGGAAAGCTCTAACCTAAAGGGATATTTAGGAGCTAAAGAGAGCCTGCAAGAAGCCTCAGATTCCAGAGGACCTGACAACAGGATTCCCAGGTGGGCTCTCAGGGGCCAGCCACCTTTTGAGGCCCTCTCCCCAGTGCCATAACTGGGGGCAGTTAAATAATGGGCCCTGAGAGAGACCTAAATTCC